TAGGGCTTGTCTGATAACGATTGTATGATTTGGCATATGATCTGATTTTGGAATGCTTTGGCTAGCTTGTCACAAAGCCATGCTTCTTTCCGGGTGTCTCGCTGTCTTTGCCGGGGCTCACCCAGGTGTAGAAATTTCTGGAATCAAAAAGAGCCGTCATGCTGGTTCACTACTCGCCAGGAATTCAGTTCATATTCCACTTGCCAGCTCTGAACACCTCATGGCCAGAAGCTTTGTCTTAACATAGCCAACAAGCCCGATGACAAAGATTACAAGTACCCCATTGCTGGGACCGTTGTAGCCTCAAGCCCTCGCTTGATGCTCACGCACAGGTGATGTTGGAGGTTCAGTCCCAGATGGCACAGTGCGAATCCTTGGAGGGTTGTAGAGTGGGGCTCTCGCCATATTGCAACAGGAAAAAATGCTGAACAAAAATGGAAACCACCATATGATAGTTCTTTAGTAGTTCTCGGTTTTCCACAGCTCTAATAGGGAGAAAGCTGAAAAGTACCACTCCTGTGTGATAGGATAATAGAACATAGTCAACAGCGCTGTCGCAATTCTACCGCCGCGCCAAAGTTCCTTGGACTCTATGTAGCCTCCCTAAGAAAAGGTGTGGCGAGATTGTGGCCCGGCCTAGGTGCCGGTAAAGTCTGACGGTTTGACTTTCCTGTACCTAAACGCTCCATCTATATACCCTGAATCAGGGACCATATACCCAGATTAAAGGGTACTAGGACTGTCCTGGTAGAGTTCTATGCGTGGAGTGTTTATGGTTAAGGGACTATGCGCGCGCCAGCTTGATGTGTGGCACGGCACCGTTGCAGAGTATATACGAGTGCTTTCATGGCTCGAACGGCGTCTCATACTCGGTTTTTTAAGGGCAATACATCGATCGGGTACATGCCTATGTTCTTACCTCCTTACTTGCAGACATAGAAAATACCCCAACCCTGATTGGAATATGTCGGGAGCCTAACTTGTGGTCAACGTTAGTGGGTTGGGGCATCACCTATCCTCAGCCCTACGCCGTAGACCGTCACCAGTCCTGGCAGAACCCAAAGAGTTCCGCAGTCATTTCAGAAGCTTTCAGCTGTTTGCTCAGATGACTTCCTGACAAATGGGGCATCACGTTAGAGCATCCCATAAGGCTGAAGTCTTCCTTAGGCAGATCCATCTAGCAACTTCATACCTCACGTTGTAAGAGGTCAGGTCCTTTCGCAATTTTTCCGGCGTGCAAATCTCAGACCTAAGCCCAGAACTCTGAACGATCCTAAATCATCCGCCATCAAACTGTAAATCCCCCAAGCTTGGAGCCCTCAGCCAGTGAATATAGTCCCCCTTAAGTAGATAGACTATGGCTTTGGGTATATCACGATAAAAAGATCCCCATATACCCCATATTCTATCTACTTAGGGGGGACTATACCCCTTGTTTGACAGGTACAAGCAGCTTGGTGATTTGTGAGATGAATTGTTATGTGTGCTCGCAACTACTTTTGCAAGTGCATGGCCTTGCATGGTCTGCCAAGGCTGTAGGATGCGATATAGGGGTAGGGAATTATTATGTCATGTGCCATCGTTTTTATTGTAATTATTGTTTTGATACTACAATTGCTATTGCTAGTAATTATTAGTAGCTTTAATTGCTAGTCTATTGTAGGGCTTATTCGTTTTTATGACTACTATCAGTATGTTTATCTTTCATTATTGGTCGTGATGGTAGTAGTCGTAGTAGCCGCCCCCCCCCCCTACCAAATGTGTTGGTTGATATTTTGACTACCACCAGAGCTTTCGAAGGAAGGGGTGGGGATAATTGTCTATAAACCGACCTCAACCGGTAAATTTTCTCAAACTTAATGCCTCCCCTCAAGTGCCCCAACTAAGCCAGATCATGGAGTTTTTTGACTTGGGTTTTTTGGGAGGCAAGCCAATGTGGATCCATAGGACCGCCATGCTCACCCGCATTTTTGCCTGTACCTCTGAAATATTTCATGACAGCGTGTCCACATTGGCATCTCTTGGAGCCATGGTCCAGGTAAGGCTCAAAAAGCAGGCCTTCGAGCACCAACCAGCAACCTGTGGGGAAAACATTTCCTTTCATGTTGCTTACTGTTTTCTAATGCCGCCTCCCCCGCATTTATATTGACCATTTAAGCAAACATAGTTGGTAGGGGGGGGGGCTAGTAGTAGTAGTAGTAGTAGTACTAGTAGTAGTAGTAGTAGTGGTAGTGGTAGTGGTGGTAGTAGTCGTAGTAGTAGTAGTAGTAGTAGTAGCAGCAGCAGTAGTAGTAGTAGTAGTAGTAGTAGTAGTTTTATCTGTGCTATTCGGAATATCCGTAAGTGCTTTTTGGGGCGCCCATAGGTGTAAATCCCTCTTCCAATAAGATGTCAAAGCAGATGCTTCTTCTATGCGGTACATCTGGATATCATAGGACAGGGGGTTTGAAGTTCATGGGCCCTTTTGTGGGATCTGAGACGGGCAGCCCCAATTTTGAGAATGCCCATACCATGGTTGTTCGGACACCACTCAAGTAGACATGGGGTTCATCGTGGCAGCATGGCATTTCATTGATGTACACGCCTGTATCGATCCATACCCTCATGCATGGGAACCTTAAGCCGGTTCTTCGACTACATGTCTGTTGCCCCAGGCAGAGTTCTGCCATTGAAGGCAGCCGTGTGCCATGAGTTCTAAACGAGGTTGAATGGAACGTTTTTAGCCATGCTTGCTTTTGTGTTGCGTCACCTTTGCTCGGAAGTACAGTACGCATGCGATCTACTTGCTGATTGATGCTGTAGTGGTACTGGATCAGAGTGCAGCAGTACATAGGGTGCTGGCTGAGTTGGAAGGCCTTGGCGGGCTTGGAAGTAATAACGAGCGCCATTGAAATGATGGAAGTTTTTGCACAGTTTTGCAGAAAAAAACCGAGGCAGAGGCATATACACGCGGCTCTGCAAGAAATTGGCAAAAATCAGCACCATGGGCTTTTTAGAGCTGTGCTCCTATCTTGGGGAACCCCTTTCTGAGAATCCCAACGCTTCGAGCGTATGTGAAGCCTCCCTTCCGTGGATAAACGTCCAGCAAGGGCTGATCACGGAGACCACGTACCTTACAAACCCCAACACATGAAACCCGGATGGCCCAAAAGTTGTTGAATTTGTCAGTCGCGTCATGGTAAGAAATGGCTACCTCTTGGAGCAAACATCTCATATGCCTCCGCCCCCGTGTTTCACAATGGTGTCGCGCAGTGTACAGATGACCATTCTCAGCCGGCATGCAAGGGAACTTAGTACTGAAAACCTGGCATGGCTTACATTATTCTTGGTGCCTCAGCCTAGGAGTCAGGTCTCGCATTGGCAAAATCTAAGCCTTTTGACCGCTTGGGATGGCGCTCAAAATCAGTCGTTAAGGAAGTTACAGAAATGGGACCAACATTAGGAGACCATCTATATGGTCTTTTGTATGATGGACTAACTGCATGATGGACTACCCCAACCGAAATCTCTACACATTTCCGCACAGACCACCACAGCTCATACAATTGACATCTTACGCTCACCATGCCTTAAGTTCAGTATTGCTGTCACCGTTCTCTATTCGATTGCAACTAATCTGATCTCTTCTGAATACCTCCATGACCAAAAAAAGTCTGACATCTTGGGCGCAGTGATCAGCATTCCGGCTCTGTGTCAGGGGCTGCTGGAGCGGTTCAGCAGCCATCTACGCTTAAGTTTAGCTTAGCATTTGATGAAGCTCGGAATCACAGTCCATGCGGCTTCAAGCACGTGTCTGGCTGCCAGCAGCGCAAAATTCGCAGAATGTGCAGGCAGAATTGTGGGTGCTCAACAGCAATCGACCTATCCATGTCCCTACTGTCAGACTACTCATGACGAAAGCAATCAACCTGCCCCATGCTATTGGCACCCTTCACTTTTTTGGGGTCACTGTATGAGGAAAGCTATCCTTGAGAAGTTGTGAAGCCAGTTCCTGCTCATTTTTTGCATGTTGTCTTTCCGTTGATTCCAAACCATGCCCATAAGGCGGAGTTTCAGAGTCAGGGAAACCAAAATTTTGCTGCTTGCCCTCGCTGCGCCCAACTAGATCTTGGCAGCGTGTGAAGGCGTCCAGCAGCCTGGTGTGCGCGCACGGCCCCAATATCCTGGCAGCAGCAGAATCAGAGTCGCAGCCCGCAGCTGTTTTCAAAAGCATCTATGGCCATGCGTCTGTGACATCAAGGCCACAAGGGCCGCGAGGAATTTAAGGTTTAGGATTTTAGCCCCTGATTTGCGTGGCTTAAAGGTATACTTTCCGGGGTTTGGGGTTGAGTGTTTGGGTTTGAGATCTTATCTCTTCGCGAATGTTGTTCGTGACTTCGCGGTGCTCATAATTGGGCTGCCTATATCCCATGCTGGGATGTCGTGTACAGCATTGAGTTTATGTCGAGCCCGTCTGCAGCCGTTATAGTTCGTTTCGCACGCAATCCCCGAGTTGGTGCGTGCATAATCCATGCATGGCCGGCCCGCGCATGCTCGCTGCAAAAACATATTCAAGCGCTACATCCCCACAGATAGTCAGTATAGAATCCTCCCGCAAGCTAGCTACGAAGCCCAGTTCTGCTTTCAGCTATTGTCACTTATCTACTGAACATATCACACGTGTGCCACTTGTAATTGACTCCCCCAATGTTAAAACACCCCCCCCCCTAACATTAAATATTCTCGATTTGGGGAATATTTTGTTAATGTTAAGGGGGGTTGGGCTATTTTACATATTCGAGGTCCGGGATCACCTCAACCCCAAAGCCTATGTGGTTGATTCCTTTGCCTGGGCCTAAGGCGTGGGAAGATGTCAGACCAGTATTACGATTACTACTACCATTATAGCTATCATCATCACTACAACTATGATTACGACTATTACCACGATCACTAGTATTACTACGACTACTACTACTACTACTACTACTACTACTGTTCTTCTTACGAAAGCCTGGCAGGTGGGCCCCTGGAGCCGTCATGGTGGGAAGACGGCTGGTCTTCCTGCTGGCCGCAGCTTGAATCGCGTGAAAAAAATAGTAGCGAAACCAGTATGAAGAATAGTTGTAATAATAAGGCGAATAGAGATAGCGGGAATACTAGTACTATAATACTACTAATAGAATCTAGCTTTGTGGGCGAGGAGGTGGCGGGTGGCGTTTGGGGTTGCGGGTTTGTCAAAATCTGTTGTTTTAACGGGCTTCTAGGAAAGGTGCTTATGTCTGCAAGTTGCAGTGTAAGGGGTTGCGCATGCTTGCTTCACAGGACTTGCACGCAGGTTTGGGGGAGGGGGTCTTATCATGGGCCAGGTAATCAGCCCCAATTGTCCATTGCTGTGGTGGCGTCGCACAATCCCACCTCCCAGTCCCCATGAGAGCCTGGCGCAATCGACATCTCGAAAGGCATTGTTACAGTGGCATGTGCCGAATTACCCTTAGCTTCAAGACATCTTTGACACTGTAAAATCCCGCATAGTCGAGTCAGAGGTTCTTGCTTCCGTGTATCCTCTTGCATGGGCTGGGCATTTACTCGCATACTCCCTGCACATTGCAGGCCCTCCTTCCGGTCTGGTGCACTTAAGGCCCCCCCTTGAGTAGACAGATTTCAAGTCACATGTACAGGAAATGTACCATGATGAGTTTCCCGGTTTTGTAAATTCAACTCCCTTCAGAAGAAGTATAAGGTGACACCACTGGCGCGGGCAGCCTCCGCGAAGGTCGGACAGCGCGCTTCCTGTGCTGAGAGCAATGCTCAACTTTGGATGATCTTCCAGTTTCTGAGTATTTTAATACATCCAAACACCTACCTGCTTCCAGATGCTTCAATGTATATGGGGGTTTCCCAAAATTAGGGTTAGCAGTTACCTTTTTGGGGGTCCTTATAGCATGTAGTAAGGATTACAGTATGGTGGGGTTTATATGAGGGTCCCCATACTTTGGGGAAACTACCATATAGTCCTTATAGAACCCTTTATAGAGTAGCTTCCATCTCATTTTCCATTTGATTTTCCATGTGCTTCTCCATTATTCCTATATAACCCCTCTATAGTAGTCCCCTACATAATCCCCTATATAACCTTCCTTGAAGGAGTTTAGACTATAGCGCGTATGTTACATGCATGATTGGTATGCTTTGGGAGAGCTGGCAGAGCTTGACTTCTTCAGACAGAGATTTTGTTGTCCTTGCGTAGGGAGTCCCCAGCTTGGCTACACCTTCTTCGAAAATTCGGTTTAGGAAAATGGAAGAATCATTGGGCAACTTGAACAGCAAGTAGGATTTGCGCCAAGATTGCGTATTAGGTAAGAAGGCAGCGCCCACCGTGACATACGGCCATAGCAGGGATTGAGGACAAATGGTTGACGATTTGTTTTCGAAGCATGCAGATTGCACAGCATGTTCAAATTGGTGCTCGTGTTCTCCCATCTTACCTACATGCGTTCCCCCTTGCATGCCTCGGAGTTTGAGGTGTGCTTTCGCTGAATCTCTGCAGAAATCCTCTGAAACTGTTCACGGATCTATCACAAGTGTGCATGGGCTATTGTATCATGCGCTTCCCGATGGTAAACGTCAGAGGCCGCGGATGAACCATCCACAGCCGAGGCCGGGACACTCGATTCAGGGCATCGGCAGCCGAATAGACGGTACTCCTTATCATCCGGCAGAAAAATCCCTGAAGAAGCGGAATCGCACGACTTGATTGCCTAGAAGGTCCTCAGGCGCTTCATTCAACAGCATGCCCTTCAATGTCATCTAGCATTCAAGCAGATGCAAAAAAATGAGGATCCTATGTAGTCATGCAGGCACCACATTCAAAGTGCCTGAAGCAGATTGTGGGTGCTTCAGCAAAGGTTAGAAATAGAATAGAAGAAGTCCTGCTCCAAACTTCAACATGTCAGGCAGAAATTGAGTTTCTGCAAGTGGAAGTGGAATCTGTGTGGCGCAGCTTTTGTTTTCAGTGATTCGACTATAAGGGGATTACTGCGATGCAGGCTTCTGAGTGAGATCTAAAAGTGTTGTAGGTCTGCTTACATGCAGCTTTTTAACTGTTGGTGTTCTTTGGGCACTGTGCGTGTTCCTGTTGCAGGCCAGCATTAGTGCCGGCGAACCAGAAATAAATCCGAAGGCCGGGCTTTGGATTGCACTCGATCCTTGCAAACCCACCAGTACTTTTGGATCAGTGCTCTGGCAATCTTAAAGATAGGGCCATCGCGCATTGCCGTGATGACGTTTGCAGCGGGCACGTTTTAAAGCTTCCAGGGTGTAAGCATGCGCCATCGTTCTCTGGCACCGCTGTGTCATCCCCAAAGCTGCTCCAGGAAATTACGAAGGCTCCTGGGCAATGCAGTTTCAGTGGCAAGTCCTGCATTGCCAGCGTAGCGAGCTCTGGGGCATACCAGCAGAGACATATTTCCAGTGGTTTTGGTGTGCAGGCAAGTGCAAAGTCCGAAATGCGCGAACCAAGTCTCAAACCTGCTTTGTTTGTCTTTGCTGAGGCTGTGCAGCTTTTAGACGCTCTGCTTAAAGTGTAAGTTTTCTCTTTCGATTGCCACAAGCATGCCCTCAGTGCCCCAGGTACCTGTAGATTGGGTTTAGGGAATTATGGGGATTCATGTTTCCCACATTATAATAATGGATAAGAGAACGGAAGCGACCGTAATGGAGAATCAAATGGACAAGAAAATGGGACATGAAATGGAAGCCAGATTAACAGGCATCGAAGGGTAGAAGCCTACATAGAGATTAGATGGCCGTGCGATGAGTAGTATACAGCATTTCTGTGCTCGGTCTACTCGACCCCAGCCACTGCACTCAATCCGAAAGCCACTGTCATTCTGTCATTCCCTTTAGGATCGGGTCTTCAAGCGAGAGCATGGCAAGATTGGCATCTGGGAAGCATCAGTTCGGGATGAAGGGGGCTTAGTGCTACGTCGTTAGGCTTCCGGCTTCACAGGGCACTGCCGCATCCGAATTGTCCTAAGTGTTGTCTCTACCTGAAGCATCCTAAAGCTGAACTGCGATAGGAGTTGAGATACTCTCTGGAAAAGCCGCAAGCTTCACATCAGCACATGGCCATGCGCCTGCCTTTGTATCATCTCCTACATCAGCCGACCTGTGCATGGTAGTAAGGGATACAGCTACCCTACATCTGGTCGATTGCCTCCCGTATGCTCTACTGATATACGACGGGGTTATGCTGCAGCCTTGTCTGGTGGAGTTGAGGATATCTGGAGACTACGCTTACAGTTTCTTCCGTGCAGGAGTCGAGAATCTAGGTCAAGGGTTTACATAAGGTTGATTGAATTCAGATTTGTAGAGGACCCGGGGGAAATTCCATCGGTGCTTTTACATAGCTGAGGCATGGTTGCCCACATCACGTCTACTCACCACCTAAGGCCAATGTGGCGTCGTGTCGGAACTGAATGACCATGTGACCTGGGAAAACACGACCAGTTTGCTGCCGCAAGCGCATCAATGCGTCTTAGATGCAAGCGCGCAAGAAAGAAGGCGGTTCTGGCTGACACTCAGTACGATTAGCATTTAGGCCTGTTGTGCAGTTCGAGGCCTCCGGGATGTTCAGGGTGTGGCTCGAACTTAGCTCATTTATCTTCTGGCATCTTGATCCCTTCATTCTTTTTCGTGCAGGTGGTGGCAGGTCAAACTTGAAAGAACGTGGGCACCTCGCGAAACATCGAGCAGAATCGAGCACAAGTCATTTCCCTCGCAGCAGGACCAGCATCATGTTGCGCCTAATTGTGTTCTTCGAATCCGTGAGGGCTAAGTCTGTTTTTGTGCGGGCTGCTATCCCCCAGTGCAGAAGCGTTGGGAGCTAAAGTAGCTTTCATGCAAAACGCTGTGCACATGGGCGTGATACGCCACAAACAACAGGAGTAGGTCGGTAAATGCTTCGAGAGCAGGCGCCTACGAGCTTAAGGATTTCAGGGTTGGACAAACGCACATGAACGTTGACCATCATATATGATATTTGACTTGCACAGCCTGCATACGTCCTCATGGAATTCGCACCCTAGAGGAAGAAACACGTAAACTCCTAGTAAGATATGCAGTATATGGCGCAAGATCCTGTTCAAGTCGTTTTTACTACCGGGAGTCAGGTCACCAGCGATTGTCCACGAACTGCACGTTGAGCTTTCGACAAATGCAGTGTCCAGAAGTCGCTCAGAGGCAAAGCTTTACCAGCAGCGCTGACAATCGAAAGAAAGGCACAACATCTCAAACTTCCAAAGCTGAGCCGCATAGCATGATGCGAATAAAGCAAGCCACCACAAGCAACCCCATGCGGGTTGCTAATCATGGATGTAGACCAATGCGTCAACGTCGCTGCTGAGATTTCCAAAGCCTTTGAAGCAAGTAATATTTCGCACATTCCACACAGTACGGTTCCAGGGATGGTCCTACTATATCATATTGGAAATATATAGGGATAGGAGCTCGCAGACCTTTGTTTGTGGCTGCAGCATATGCATGCAAAAGACTGAGAGCCTGTTACTTTTTGAGAAAAATTATGGTGCCGCTGGGTACGCAAGACAAATCCTGTAGCTTAGCATGCGTTTGGGCTCATTTATTTGATTTCATGGAAAATGCCCCACGCTGTCCCCAAGGGCTTCAAGAGACATAGACATGTACACCTCTGTTCACTGCACCTCAACATGCGCTGAACCTATACTTACACACTATAGGGTATCTCAGCTTGCTACTATGGATGCTGCAAATTCCGTTCTTTTCCTCTGCGCCACAAAGACGGGCCGTTTGACCACTCAGGGCCGATAGATGCTTAGTCTCAGGGGCGTGTGAGAGTTTGAGAACCAGCCGCCTATGAAAGGATGATGAAGTGCATGAATTCGGCAGGGTTCGGTAAACTCGTGAATGCAGTGCGCTTCAGGAATGTCCATTTTTGGCTCCTGACCTGCCACATGCCAGCAAAGAAGCCCTTGTTGCTCGGTGGGTTGCATTAGGCACGGTTAGGCACGGTTAGTTTGCTTCACTGTGCCCACGCCTCAATCCCTATACTACCCAGGCCTGAGATGCCAACCCGTGAGCCCAAAGCCTCCCACAATCTTTGGAGACGCTCAGAGATGGCGGGATGCATCCATGACGCGTAGGTATGTAGTATTAGAGTTTCAGGGTTTGACCGTTTAAGCATTAGGCTTTAGGTGCTTTGGCTTCAGGGCCAGGAGTCTATAGTTTACAGGGGTAACATGTCTCGGGGTTCAGCATGTCGGGACATATTGCTTCAGTTTTTGGAGTCGGCCCTTTCATGTGCCGTAGGATTGTTCACGGAGCGTTAAGAGATGTCCTAATGACTTCTAAGGGAACTTGATGTGAGTGTCTATGAGACGAATAGAGCTGCTGGGGCATGTGTTGCTATTGTGGTCAGGGTGATATAGGGTAGTGATATGTGTTAAAGGTATTGTTGAGAGTCAGGTGCCCTCCTGCCAGTAGCAGCAATGAGGTTCCTACTCACATACTTCCCAGTATCCTGCCTACAATTAGTTGTACCAAGCACCAATCCTTAAAAGAACAGCTGCAAATGGTGAGTAAGGTGTTGGAAATTCAAGCCCTTAAGCGCAATCCCCAATTTTTGTACCTGCTAGCTGCAAAACTTACCTCAGCTTTTCAAGAACCTGTTTTGGTACTGTTGCTGGTGCTGCTTTTCATTACAGACGTGCACATTGCGAGTGCCTGTGAGGCATTTCCCCTGCATGTTCAGCTGCCGTTCACCTCAGCGGTGCTCTGGGAGCAGCCCCGGCTGCAAGTTTGTAATGTGAGTTTTGTGTCCTTGCAACGAGCTGTTTTAGAACACAGCTCATGTTCAAGAGCACTGCTAACATGCAAGTCCGCTGCCTTGCCGTCATCTCCCTGAATTGGAGGTATGATGCGCCCCTGAGGACTGTTGGGTTCTTTTGCTCATCCCCCGAATTGGATAGCACAATGCAACTTCTCAGACTGACAACACCTGTCCCTGGCGCTGTGGGGTCAGTGCTGGCGACCATACTGTTAGCTTGCTCAGGCAACGTTGACACACCTTTTCCAGCGCGGCCCTCGGCCGGGCTGCATTGTCAATACAGGGTTTGGGGTTTCAAGATTCAACCTGGTTGGCCGCAAAGAAGGCTTGTCAAAAGATCTCCGGTACTATTTTGCGGAGAGGTGGAGAAGTGAGGTTGAAGCAGACCACAGGAAAACTCCTAAACCTCATGGTAGACATGACCAACAATAGCTCGTACTTGTGGCAAAACTGGAAGTCCGGCCATAGTAGTGCCAGCATAGTGGCAGGAGTGGTGACAGCTAGGACAGCGAAGAGATATCATGGTAGCAAGAACTGCAGAAGCTCACCGTGACTGCCCTTCAAAGCCCCAAGACCCTGAGCCCAGAACGAGCCACTAAAATCCAGAACTCTGAGCCCTGCTCCATTAGAACCTTGTTCTCGGTGAGTCCTGCGTGCTGGCGGCCTCGACTATCCCTGACATGACCATGGAGTACAACGACAAACCCCAGCGTTTCGAAGTTATCATCCAGGGGGTTCTGATCAGTCGCCGGGATCAATTATTACAGCTCAGTTGAAGCCTGGAGTATTCTTGCAAAGCTGTCTTCAGTAGTTCGCGTATCATCAACAAAAAGGTGACAAGACGAACCGCTGCCCATAATGACTTAAAACGAGCCTAGCTGCCCAGGACAAAGAGTACAACCTTTGCTCCTCCTGTTCCGTCGTAGGCCTGCTGTTCGCCAGCCAAGCGCATTCTGATGCGGTATTCGATCAATGTAAAGTTTCATGCCTGCAGTGCGAACAATGGTAGTGGGAACGGTGGTAGAGCAGCAGAACCGCCATCTTGGGAAGTGAGAGCGCGGGCTATTCCTGCACCTGCACCAAAAGCCTAAGCAGCCACAAGAAGGTACTGCGGGTCTCTTAGTTAGAATATTTAGCATGCGCGATGACGACATGCAGGCTGCAAGTATTGCATCCGATCCGACTTCTGCGCTAAGTGCCACGATGGCTTCAGTGAAAAGGTGCCGGGACGCAAATGGAGCCGGTTCTTTCCGAGGGCCTAGGCCTCCCAGTAGCCCAACGCGTGCAGTTAGGCCCCATGCTCTAGACTCACCATCTTCTATGCATCCTTGGATGCCAATTCGTTCTCCATTGACTTGGACCGCTGGGCATACGACATGCATCTTTGACATACCAACGTGCATGTATGTTGTCAGCTGGATGGCCATCAAGATTAGAGATGCGATGCTGCGTGGTTGTGAGAGATGCTCCTCTAGTCGTCAGATCATAGACGAGGCAAACCTCCCATCCCAAGTAGGCTCGGCTGCTCCACTCCTAGTTGGGCATACCCGAAAGGTCTATCCACCAAGGACGAGTCAGACCAAATCAACGTAACAGTTGCCAAGGCCATGATAATACTTTGCTGGAAACAGCCAAAGCTGCAAGGATGGGTCATGCATTTTCACGCTGACATCGGGAGGATGGGCGGCAATTGCTCCTCAGCTGTATGCGGGTATGTTCTGGCTTTACTGATGAGGGAGATCTTCGGGTTTGTAAGGGGTACCTAAGGATTTTCTGAGGGCTGCGTCAGGTTTGACATCATGGATGCTCTGAAGGGTAGAGCTTGTAGGAGCCAACACTAAGACTGCCACCTCTCTGCGCACATCATCCTGTGAACCATGGTCTAAACTCCTTCAAGGGGGATTATATAGGGGACTATTGTAGGAGTTATTGATGAGTGTGATTCTAGGAGTTTAGACCTTAAACCCTAAACCCTAATACTAGGAGTTTAGACCTTAAACCCTCAACCCCAAGCCCTAATACTAGGAGATTAGACCTTGAACCCTAAACCCTAAACCCTAATACTAGGAGTTTAGACTATAGCTCATGTTGTTTGACCAGAATCTGCCGTCCCTGGTCTTGCCACATGGGCTGCTCATAGCGCCGGGCCGTCATCTTCATCAGTATCACCATACTTTAGGACGACCCCCCCCCCCCAACCCTGTACTAGTGATTATAAACTATCTTAGGGATAATAGTGATTACATTAGGGTCCTCTTATCTTCCTATTATACCACTATTACAGTTTGGGGGAGTCCTCCTAAACCATGCTACGTTGATGTGACACTTCGTAGCATTGTTTGTTGTGCTTACAAGAACAGTGTGGCTTACTGTCTCAACAAGAGCAAGCCTATGCCATTACTAATGCCATTAAATCTATGCGCATCATTGACATTGCGATTCGCTTGTTGTTGACTTGGCTCCTCTTTAGGATGACTAGCATGATCAACATTACCCCCCTTTGGTTCCATATTCTAATCTCTCTTCGTAGGGATTCGATTTCTTTTTTCCTGCTACCCCCCAATAAGATTTTGCCCGCTCAGGTGATGTATGCGCAGGGCTCAGCGCTGTGGCGTTCAGGGGCCAAAACGCAAATTCAGAGTTAATCCAGAGTAGGGTAATAATGGGGATACTTCATCTCCTCATCTGCTACTTTCTCATGAATACGTATAATGGAAATTATTTGAATGGGTTATATGGGGACTCTAGCTTATATTGGGGTAATGGAAAAGAAAATTGAAATTATTATGATGGGTTACCTTCTCGACATACTAACCACCAAGAGGAACGGGGGTGCTTGGCATTAGGGGGAGGCACGAAGACTGGCAAAGCTATATTATATGAGCTCTGCAAGGGAGATCAAGGCGATTTTGTAGTTGAGCCTCATGCTGTAAAGCGCCCATCAGATGGCTGATAGTGTGCTATACATGGAGTCAGCGCAGAATTCTTGAGATGCTCTAATCAGGGAATGGTTCTCGAACAGGGTCTTTACATGCTTCCGGGTTCAGTGTTGAAGCTGGTTGAACACAGCAAGAGATGCCAGTGTAGCTAGAATGTTTAAGGGTGCCGAAGCCACGCTTGACCAAATCGTGCGCATGCGCATGAGGAGAGTGGAACTGCACAGTTGATCCCTGCTGCTTTTTCTAGGAGTTGGCTGGAAATGAAAAACTGGTTTGTAAGGCCATTCCGCGACATAGGTTTGTAACAGAATCCCCTGGCTTGCGACAAGCACCTTTGCGACAAGGTTCTTTTGTAGGGCATACCTGCGCAAATCATTCGCGACAAAGGTACGTAACAACAGCCCCTTACAAAGGGGTATGTAACAGGGGTTGGGGGGGGGCCCGCGATAAAACGGGGTTTGGATTCACAGCTGTTATCAAAAACCCAGCCCCTCGATGCACTACCCAAATAATTGGGTAGAGTAGTAGTCTGCCTGCTTCCAGACCATCACTGCAAAAGGATTGGTAGCTTCATGGGCCACGTGTCTGGGGTGACCCTCCAAGCCCTGGGCACCAACTCAATGTCCTCAGCTTGTGCGGATGAGCTCTAATCCCTAAGCTGACGACAGCGCCTCCTTCAAAAGGTGCTCATTGGTCTGATCGTGCTGTTGGTCATCACGGCCATTGTCTACTGTTTGGCTGGGTCAAAGACCGGACGTAGGGTAACAGTTTACCGCTTGGAGGGGCATGGCACGCGTGGCTTGCGAAATTCTCGAGTAAATCAAAGGGTGCTCTGAGGAAGCTTTTGAGTGCGATTTCAGCTGTTACTTGGGTTGCGAGCCCTCTTCCATTTGGCTGCTCAAGTACCGCTTTATTCCATGAGGTTTTGGGCTTGAGGGTTAGACTCCCAGTTGAGCTTTTGGCGCCCAAGATAGCCAATTGCCACTTGTAGGTGAAGTCAGTTTCTGCGGCATGGACAGTTGACATTGCACCATGAATGAAGGATTATCCTGCGTAGGTATCTGTGAGCAATGCACAGGTACGGACATCAACAGGCACACATAAGATTCACAAAAATCACTGAAGCCTTGTCAGAAGCCAGCCCACCTTCCCATGGCAGATCAAACAGGAGCCCACACTGGGAACATAATCAACGCTGCATTGAAGCCGGTCGAAGACACCGGCACTTGTCAAAAGAAACTCAGCGAGAGTTATTGACATCGACGGCTGTCAAAATTATCAGACTTGAGGCCTGCAGCTTAAGCAGGTCATCTGAGCTATAGTTTAAACTCCTCAAGGGGGGGGGGGGTATATGGGGGAGTACTATAGGGGTTACTAAGAGGATACACTATGGGTCATCTTACCTGCCACAGTGCTACTCAGTGCACTTGAATGCCTTGGTTGCTTCTTCGTGGGACTGCAGCTGCTACGCACTACTGTGCAACGATCACTATTACTAATCTTCTTCTCACCATAAAGCTGACAAGTTAAAGGATCACAGTTTGAGCAATTTTGGTATGCCCTCGCAACCGCTGCAGTGACCCCTGTAGGCAACTGGGCTTGCAGAGGTTTGGGGCTTGAGGTTGAGGGTTCATCATGGAAATAGCATGCTGGGTTTTCTGTCGCTTCAACCAAAGCCCAGGTAAATCGATGGGACCTGTTCGGAAAGATGCCCCGGACGCGATATCCACTCTCCGCTGCTAAGACTGCAAGATTAGGAGCAAAATGTTAAGTTGAGCACAGAACATGCCGACCTGCGCCACAAACATCAATCACGCAATAGTGCAAGACAACGCGCAAAAGTTTGGTCTAAACCTATACGTACATTCACTCGTGACAGTTGTCAAAGCAATCTTCCCAGGCTTGGAGAAAGCACTGCAGTTACATAATTTATGAGTGGGTCCAGTCTGCATGAGTGTACATCCTTTATTTCGGAGATGCAGATGACACTGAAACCCTGTTGAGGCTGCCTACTTTCTGTGTATCCTGCAGGGCAGCTTTGTCCATGCCCCAATCACGCTTCCCCCCCATGTAGAGACTTTGCTGTTACTTGGCTCAAAGTAGAGCTACGACGAGTGTTTTCAACATCAGAGCTACGAACGGTCCCTGGTCAGACTTTGGCAATCAAAGGCCTTCGAACAGAGCAGCTCCTAACATCTCCATACCTGTGAAAGAAAGAGTCACTGTGTTACAGGAATCTCGTGGGGGCAGTTTTTGCGCAGGGCCCCTTCGGCAAACAAGCAGGCTGAGTCAATCATTGTTCATTCGCGAGGTTCCTGCGAACGAGAACATCCTGGGCATGGGCTTGGGACTCTACTACAATAGCAAACTTGTCTGCATAGCCCGTCTGCTTCAAAGAACCTGAATAAGATCTACAGGGTTCTGACAAAGGGATAGTGAAATTCGCTCAGGACCATGGAGAGTTATTAGCAAAGTCTTTGGCAGGAGACGCGACACCAGCGAGACCTTTTTTGAGTTGCGAGCTCCTGTTCAAACTATGGATCCTGCGAGACCTCTGTTTTGTGAGCGTGGAAGCCCTAAACCCTGGGGTACTTAACAGTATGAAGCAAATCCCGGCAAGACTTTGACACAATCAGATCAGAAAATGCAGGAGCCAGTCTGGCAGGCTGGTGACTTTCATGTGGCCGAGGTGGAAGTCATGGAGACTTGGTAGGTAAGCTCTTCCTACAGAGTCAGTCAATGTAGAAATATAGTGCCCGAAGAGGTTCCCATATGAGTACTTCGGAGCCAAAATATATACTATATAGCTGCATGGACCCTCTGGTCTTGGCATCGGCACCTGATCATTGAATAGACTGCGCAGCGAACGTTCATGAAGTGGAAATTCTCCACTTGATCACGCACGAAACCAAGCAGGCCCCTTGCGGCTTTAGGCAGGTTCCCTCTTGAAAGGCTTGCTACATGTGTTTTTAAGAATGAGTTTGGTTGCAGACCCCAAGACAAACTGGGATCCTTGCCAACCACAAATATGAGGCCCTAGCCCCTACATCAAGACCCTAAATCGCTTAACGTGGAGTCTCAATGGTTAGGAACTTGTGAGTCTCTCGAAGTTCTGATGTGCTTGATTAGCTCAGCTTGGAAGGTGTACAGGGCCCTAGTTTTGAGAAGCTCCTCAACCACTTTCAAAATTATCCAACACTAGCAAGCAAAGAAGCTTATGAGGCGGTGTGCACACCATAAGACCTACAACGCCATCCTTTGCACTGTGTCCAGCCATCCCGTTCCATGCAAGGCATTCGTTTCATGTTTGTAGCTGCCGTGCTGACGCTCTTGGCTTCCTGGATTGTGACCGTCCCTTACCTGAAACCGCTATTGCTCGTGCTAAAGCTATAGGGGTCCGATCTGTGCGTGCGCAAAACAATCGGCAGCATGTACCCTAGGGCATCCACAGAGGGCTATAAGTCTTAGAAAAGCCTCATCGAATTTTAGGTGGTGTGTGGAAGGTTTGGGGACGGTACTGTTAGGCAAAGAGAGTTTCAGTTGATTAGATGCCAGGTAGGGCACACAATAAAGCAAATGCTCCTTCAAGGGTAATGGGGTCTAGGGTTTCTACATGGGGCTTCCTTTTCAAGGGTAGCCACCTAGAAGTGGTAGTTTCCCAAAATCACGGAACCACAACATAGACCCCAAAATACTATAGCTCTTATTATGGAGATCCCCAGAATGGTATTCCTAATTTTGGGAAATCCCCTAAGCGCCCTTGAGTGCCCCAAAAAGCAGACTTGCTAGCATTCACGGATTCGGAACCCTGGCAAAAGGACCCAGGGTGTCTCTTGAGACGACAAAAGGACCCAGGTGGTGTCTTGAGATTTCAAAGGCTCACAATTGAAAGGGGCTTGAGCGACTATTTAAGAGGTTACAAACCATCTGGGTCAGGTCGCCATCATGGGCCCATCACGTGAGTTCTTAGCACCATGTAGGCAGCGTGCAAATGATGTGCGAGCTGCATGTGACCCCAGACCATCAAACAAACCTAGGGATTTTGTTCGATGTCCTGCTGCCTTGGAACCGGTTTCAGCGCAGCTAGTTGGCAACATAGAAGAATGTCTGGCCTGCCAAAGACCTGCAACCAACCCCGATATGAGCTGTGATAAGAGTTTTTCGGCATTCGCATGCACGCAGCTCTTATCGTCAGGGCAGCTGCTCCGTGCGCAAGGTCTTGAGTGGGTCCAGTTGGGACTTCGGTCAACCCAGTGCTTGAACCTCAAAATCTGAATTGTAGCTTCCAAGCCCTTACCACGCTCTGCACGTGAGACCAAGTCCCGCAATAACCCTAGCCCCAAGTCCAAAAGAAGAAGCTTATACAGCCTGCGATAGTGTGCACCCTGCATATTGAGCAGGGCTACAGGCACATCGTTTTGCAATGGCTAGGACTTCATGATGACATCCATCTTGCCCTATAATGTTGGACCTCCTTTAGTGAACCGGTCCCCTATAATGAGTTTTGGGGCCTATTCAGGATCAGGGCAATGATTGCAAGGCCCCCTGTAATGAGTCTTGATTTGGTGCCCTAAAAATAGAGGAAGGACTCTGAACAATCCTTGTTAAATCAATCCACAGGGACCTCAGAACCGTGGGAGCTCAGGGGGCCGTATTGAGGATCCCTAATTTCTATTTTTCTCGGAGGGCCTAATTTTTTTGGGGGGACCCCCCTTATTAAAGAGGGTCCAACATTAATCTTAAAGAGGGCATCCATTATGATATATGTATTTCCGACACTTCCGAACTTCCTACACGGTCATCAGATATACCCTGGCATGGCAGGGCCTTCAGCAATCCTGAATTTCTGCTCACGCTATCGTAAAGGAAACCGGCTTTGAGAGCCACATTGGTAGTTTCCCTTCAAACATCTACCCTCCAAAGGGTACCCCAAGTTCACGGAACCCCCCACATAGACCTTTCGTCCCGGATCCTTTTCATCTAAAGCTGGCAAGTCCTACTGGACGAGGATTCTGTGGGCCTTCGCTATGTTCTTCAAAGCTCTGAGACTGGAAGCTCTGACAAGCTGCTCCAGGCCTCGGGTTTGGGGTTTACAATTTAGGGTTTCACGGTCTAGGGTTTAGTGTGCAGGGCATCACAGATCAGGGTTCTCCTCGGGACCCTCAGGATACATACTTGTAGGGATTAATTGCTGGACATGATGAAGGTCATTATATTGAGTAATATATGTATATAGATAGATAGATAGATAGATAGCGCATTTTTAAAAGCACCCAAGTGGTGCTGATATACAAGTTTGCCGTGATTTAGGGCGAGGCTGAGGGTTATTGCTCAGATCATGGAATGCCTTGAACCTCCCTGGAGATTTCTCGCCATGGAAAGCATAAGCTGATTGTCAGATCGCTACAAACAGATCCGCTCATGTCTCTAGGGGGTGAATGCTCTTTATCGAGAAATTGGCGAAGGTACAAAAGGTGGTTTGAGGAGTATCCGATTTCAAAAAGGAACTCTTCCCATTTACTGAAGGCAGCTATTCAAGTGGAGAACTCGCCTATACTGCTCAGTATCCCTAGCATCCGGAAGTATACCTCGACTTTGAGGCATAGCCCTGTTGAAAGCGTTTTCTGCAGGAAAACGCTTCGTAAAAGGATGTTGATAAGAACAAGTATGAAGGAGGAGACCCGGGCTACGATAATGCCGGCAACAGAAACATGGGGGTTGGTAGCTGTATCAGTAATAGGCCACATG